TGACAAAGCAGCACTCAATGATATCAAAATGCTGGACTTTAATTTATCGCGGGGAATGGTTGTACATAATGTATTTAAAGTTGAAAAGTAATAAGTTTTTATGCTGCTGATTTGGTAAAATCTTGTGATTTCAAATTTTGGAAATAGCTGTAATGAAATATATGGAGATAACGAACAGTATTCAAGCTCAAAAGACCCTTAAACAACACAGAATAGGAGCAGAGCAAAGACGGACCTCAAAAACATCAGAAATGTGATCAGGTGCCATGGAGGAGTGAGCATCCCCTGTCGACCGGTCATATCCGCCGTGTGCTCCTTGTCATGATCAGAAAAGAACGGAAAATCCGTTGTCAATTCAGTGTGTAAATAATGGACTAACAAATAGTATAAAAAAAACGTCAGTCAGCATTTGACTCAATGATAAATTGTATTTGCTGACAAGGTCATTGTATCGACCATAGAACTTTTAGAAATTATGACTTTATAAACGAGACTGCCGATATTCTTGTTCCATCAATTTTTGTCAACTAGAACTGTCCAATAGGGACAAATACCCCCGCGGAGTTTTTCAGAGTAGGTGCCAATTCACAAATATTTTATGGATCTATTAAGAGGTGTTCACCATTTTCTTAGAAACAATTCAAGTGAAAATATAATTGCTCATTATATTTTTTAATAAATGAAACTAAGATGCAACCAAATAAAACATCAATACTAATACATTGTAACCGTATTTTTTTTATTTCATTAAAAAAAATAAATTGCAACTATTTGTCATGATACTCTGCAAATGCCCTTTGAAAATGCCCCTCCCCCACAAACACACGTATATGCATATATCTTTCATGTGGGACATGATGGTCTGAAATTTGTCACTTGATATTTTCAATTTTTTAAAAAAATATATCAATTTAACTAATTAGCATTAAAAACTTAATCAATAACAAATTGATTTTAGAAATAGAAGGCTGGTCATCAAATGACATATGCTATTTTAAACTGACCAGCTGTTCTTCTGTCTAATTCCCAAGGGACACAGATAAGAGCTTCTTGATCAGAGATGCTCTAACAGAAATAATTGAGACAGCTAGCTTTCCAACATTGAACTCATTAATTAATCTTTGACTGGATGCATGTCCACTAATTAATGTCAAGGGATGAATGGATCTTAACTATCTCCTTTGTAGTGCAATCAAAATGCATAATTGTGTCATTCTGATATTAAATCTGAAAGCAAAGATCTTTGTATAAATTTTTTACAAAGATTTATACAGAAAAAAAAATGTGTAACCTTGATGCATCATTTTGAATAAGGCTCCTGCATGATTCTTAGATTTGTAGGGACTATCTTAAAATCAGACTTAAAGTTTCAATCTGAAATTCATATAGAGAATAGGCATGCCGATTCCAATACCCCCCCAACAAACACACACAGTATAATTAGTTTTAATTATATGATTATACAATATCAAATAAGTTTATTATACAATATCATATTAGTTTGAATTACTTTTTCTCAAATTCATTAAATAAGTTAGGCTTGTCACTAAAACTATTTAAGGCTGATTCCTTCACCCAGTTACCAAGAGATATAAACAGATATGTTCTATCAGTTAGCTCCTTACACCAAACTAATCAATTTCCTTCTAATTTGACATGCAATTTTCTGTTATCGAAATTCTCCTTGACCACTGCTTGATAATTATACTCTTGGGAGAGGTAGACTATCTCTTATAAAATAACATTTTTTTATGGACTTCTGTGAGTATATAATGAAAAAAATATTATTTTCTTAATGTAACATTTTTTTTAAATAGGGATACAGTAACACTCTTACAATTTTGGAGATTGTGTAATTCAATAGTAAAAGACATTTTCTTTTTAAAATTTCACTTTAATTAAAGGTCACGGTGACCTTGAAATAGGTCATGACACACCTTCTACCCAAGATACATAAATTGACCAAGTTTTGATGATTGTAATCTAATAGTTTTCTAGTTATACAAAATAAAAAAGAAAAAACGACTATAAAATGCATAAAAATCATCCAATCATGCCGAAAATACCAGGGGCACACCTTCATATGGTGAATAATAAGTGTACAAATTTTCAGACAAATCCATCCAATAGTTTCTGAGAAACAGTCCAGACAAAGTCTTGTCTATAGACGGACGGACAGACGGACAAGCTGATTCCAATATACCCCCCTAAACTTTGTTTGCGAGTGTATAATTTACCTTGTTTTAGAAATTGTACAAACGTAGTACATGCTCTTGTGTATCGAATCAACTGAGAGATAGAAACTCCGTGTGCGGGTGTAAATTAATTTTTATTCACGAGAACTTTATTTTCGCTTAATTATGTGAGACAATGTGCTAGCAAAATTATCATTTTCTCTTACATTTGTATCCCTAAAGATTGTTTATAGCTTCAACCACAATTCATGAAAATATTTTCTTGCTAATAAAGAGTAAATGTCAATCTCGCAAAATAAAGATATCAAGAAAATTCAGTGGCCTTAAGTACTCAGGTCCACGATTATTAACACAAAAAACAACACAAAAAAATTCTTTTAAAAAATTTTGGCCATGCATATATGTAGCAATCAAAAACATAAACATTAAATGATTTTCTTAAATGTGTAATTTTGCACAATGGAAAGTAAAAAAAAGAATAAGGAATAACCATAATTTAAACATATTTTATTCAAGATATGGGAATACACCCCAATACAAGCAAAACAAACAAAATATATATGAATATATTGCAAATATATAACTTTGAGTAAAATATATATCATGATGTATTATAAACAAAATAAGGTATTGCATTTAAAAATTGTATACGTGTACGCATAACTCCAGTTTGATCGATTGATTATATACAAAAACACTGTACAATTGTTGTTGAAGTATATCATTGAAAAAATATAATCATTTTGGGATTTTAAAATCCTCTACAGAAAAAAATCAGATGAGAATCATTTATAATATCATAAAATAAAAAATAAAGAATTTATAATACTTTCATGTTTTATTGACTGCAAAATACAACTATCCTTTCCTTTCCAAAAACAAATAATTAAAATTTGGGGAATGGGAATGCTTCACGTAATGGAATGATTGTTGGGGAAAAAAACTCTCCTTAAAATCCAAAAAAAAATCTTTTCTAGAAAAACAAAGCACAGCATGTAACAGACAGTTTAAATATGGTTTGAAATGTTTTGCTGTTTTAACTTAACACTTTTCAACTCAGCAAGGAGGTTCTTTTATTAGTTAAACCCAAGTTAAACCTACATTTACAGGCAATTGTGAACAAAATTAGAAAGTTAAATTATAAATTCTTGAGATTTTTTTTCCCTTAAAAAAAGGATGGTTGCACATAAAATTTGCTTTCCCTAAACAAAAAAAAAGGATGGTAGCTTATAAAATTTTGCTTTGCTTTCATAATTTTTCAATTACTCTCTTTTACCTTGATTTCAAACATAAAACTTTTCATCTAGCTTTAGGCTCATACTAAATCTTGTAATTATCAGAATCTCCAAGACAATGAAAACCAGACATGGCAATGTAATAAACATGCAACATTTGTGATTAGTAATTGACACAAAGTATGTGGATCCAAAAAAGATTAAAGTTTTATATGGAAAAAAATCTACAATGACTTCAAGGAATTTAAATCTAAAGGTTTTGTCTATTTTCATACTGAATGAAAAGTCTGTTTTCATGAAATTCACCTTGAAAAAAAGATGTGTTCTCAAATGACAATTCTTTACAATAAGATATAAAATTAAAATCAACAAAACAGTCATGTAATCTATTCATTCAACACCAAGATGAAGTTATTTCATATTGCAAACAACCCTTACATACATTGTATTTTTATTACTGAATGTTCAATTATTTATAACACACATTTAAAGAGGAAAAAGCTGTTTCCTAATTCATATTAGATGAGATCTACATTTTTTTCAAATTTAATGTTCTTAATCATTTACAGTCATTTTTGAAAATGTCCAAAAGAATTATCTGAACAAACATCACAATAAATATTAATTCAGTCTTTTTACTTTGTCCTTTTATCACGAATGGTTCAAGAGAAGATTTCTTTTATATCAAACCATCTTGTTTTTATTTATTATCTCCCCTTAGAAGTAGATTCTGAATCTCAACCTAGACACTTAATTTGGTATCATGTGTTGATTAAAATAATTGGCCCAAAGATTCTGGCAAAGTTGTAAACCATTCATTTGAAAAACACATGACAGGCAAACCTTGTATACAAAGTCTGACACACCCATTATGAGAGAAGCTCAGCAGGCTTCTCTGCTCATTACAACTGAAAAAGGCAAAATTATCAATAAAAATTCATGGAACTCAAATGTTTAAATTTCCCTGTTACCATTATCACATGGCAATTTTAGACATGATTACTATATTTACAAAACTTTTTGTAAGCAGAAAATTGGTTGTCAAAAAATTTACTTAATTCTGCAACAGGTCTACTGTAAATCATGTTTTATTCATGAGAATTTTATTTTCACGTAATTACACGAGACACCGTGCTCGCGAAAATTTTATTCTCGCGTATTTTAGCATTCTTTAAGAATATATAGAGCAATAGTCACAATTCATGAAAATTTTGTCTCGCTAATAAAGTGTTTATGAATATCTTGTGAAAATAAGGTGTCACGAAAATTAAGTGATGTACAGTACTTTGTCTTTTTAACATTAAATGATAATAAAATTACACGACTAATTGTACACTATAATTCCTGAGTATTGGGAATGTGACTTGCCTTATTCAAGACATCAGTTTCTGGAAGATTAAGATTAAATAGTAGCATTATAGTCTTATGTATATACATTATATAATACATGTTTTGCAAAACAACTTTTATTCTTGTGCACGATGTATTATTTTCTATAATTTGTACCTCTTGAGAATCAGACAAGTTATTGACTTATTGCACCAGTGACCTGCATAAACTATTTTCTGTGAATAACAAACTTGGTTTACTGTCTTTACAGCAAGTTCTGAACAACTTTTTATCAGAAAAACAATATTTTCTACAATACAAAAATGTATGTTGGCCATAGAGATCACCATGGTAATCTTCTTCATCTCTGGGATGATACTGACCCAGGACTGTGAATTGCAATAAATCAAAGGCCAATTCTAAGCACACTCCAACAAACATTCAAATATTGTACTCTTGAGAAAATTTTTCAGACCTTTAACATAATTCTTGCTTTAATCAAACAGCATTATCTATAGTTTACTGAAAACAGAAAAACTTTGATAAAAAAAATTGCACAATTTAACACAATTTACATAAAATGTATATGGAATGTGGGGAAAAAGTATAATCATATAGGTTTTATGATATTCATTATGTTTGGTTCATATAAAATAATACGCTGTATACATTATTATGCAACTATACTTTTATATTACTGACAAAAACAGTAAACAAGTTATACTGTACTGCCTTTTATCATAATACAAATTACATTACATGTACATAGTTATGTACCCAATCCAGATAATACATATATTTTTCATTTCTTTACAGTGGGTATTGCTAAGATACATGTACATGAGTATTTCTTTTTCTTTACTCTAAACTACTTAAAGATCAATATTATTTATTTAGCACATATAACTGAATCTTTCAATCAATCTTTAAATTCATATGTTTTCAGTGGTTATCTTGCACTTTCAAGCATCTCACAAATCATCTTCAATGATCATGTATTCTAATCAGAAGCTGTGATGGTTTTAATGGTACTGACTTAACTTTACGTATTACCGTACTTAAAAAAAATCATAACTCAAAATGCTATGCACTAGAATGGAAGAGATTGCCAGACAATTCAAAAAGGATGCATATTTTTCGTTCATAATCAGAAAAAGAATTTACTAAAAAAACTTGTTCTAAAACATTATTGAAGGGAGGGGGGTTACAAACTTTTATAGTTAAGTATAATTATAATGCATATCTCCACTTTTTAGCACAGGAAAAGACACATACTGTATATTAAACATTTAAAAACCTTTAGAGTAATAAATTTTTCTTTTTACTTTAAAAATATAAAAAGAATCTACATTTGCCTTTTCCCACTAAACAAACAAACAAATTTATAACGAAAAGATACGACCATAGATGTAATCTCATAAGGTTATCTCAACTTTATAAACCAATAAGAAAATATAGAAGCACTTTTTCACATACATGAATATAAAAATAAAATCTCATGACTGCAACAAGGATCTTGTTGAAAAAGATTTTGTGCTACTCAAAAATAATTATATATTCTCTCACAAAGTATGGACAATATTTTAGGAATCTTATGCTGCTTTCAATTCAGATCAACATTTCACAAGTCAATAACCAGAATCAATTATCATCAGCTCTGACCAGATATTTTGACTTGTTCCATAGGAATGCTGAGATAATGACAAGAATTTCTGTCAATGGAATGGCTAAAGTTTCTTGGAGAAATTTAAAGGAAAGACTCCTTTAGATCCATCGGACTTTTTCTGCCCCATGACCCAGCCTTCATCCTGAAATATGTAAAACAGCGAATATCAAATAACATGTTCCAGCACACATACATGTCTGTACAATTAAAAACTATGGTATTACAAATTCCATTTAAAAAATGCGTTTCTTTGCTTTAAAGTGATTCCATTGACATATTTAAGCAGTAGAGGGTATAAAATCATAATTTAATTTCTATTACAAAGCTTAATGCCTGCCATTCCTAAGTTAGGAAGGGATGGGGTTGGTTGGGATTGAGGAGGTGATATAAACACAATGTGTAAATACTAGACACCATTGAGGGCAAGTGGAAGATTACCTTACCACCTCAAAAGTTTATAACAAATGTTGAAAATAATTTTAAGAATACCAACTTTAAATAACTGTCTTGAAAAGTGATATACAGTTCATTAACATTTCCCCATGGATTAAATACCTAGCCAGTACATGTACCGGGTAGTATTAATTTTTTTTCCCTTTCTCTCCTAGAGTATCTGTTAAAGTTCAGATAGGTGTCTTTATAGAAGTTGGCAATGTACAAGCAGATGGAGAAGAGTTTATGTTTGTTTATAATTCTCACACTTAGAATAGCTTACCTACGCAAGGAAAGAAATTAAATGTGTGAACAAATATGTATTAATCTAGAATTTCAGTAATAGCTACAATACCTGATTTATTTGCGTGTTATGTTACTCACAAATAGGTACGATTACGCAAAATTTGATAGGATTAAATATATTTTCAGCAAAACATGTACAATACATGTAGAAAGGATAAAGTCTTTTGATTTAAAAAAAAATAATAAAAGAGAAAACAAAACAGATAAAGTGCATGTTTGGGGACTTCAATTTCCATCAGAAGTGTAAGTGTAAGCTGGCTTAAGGGGGCACCTATGTCCAAAAAGTCTTTGTGTGAAATTTTCAAAACTTTGACATTTCTCTCCTGACCACTTGCTCTTAATTTTTAGGTATTAAAAACAATACCTTTATATGCTTATTTTTACACAGGAGCATGTGCAAAAACAGTGTGAAATGCTAAAAATAGATTATTTTCAGACATTATTGTTCTACCCCAAATACAGTAAAACTCGTTTCGTACGAACACGGATATAGCGAATTCACGGATATAGCGAAGTTTTTCTGGGTCCCCGGCAAAATTCTTAACAAATCTTTGTAAAATTTTACGGTTATAACGAACTCTGATATAATGAATTTACGGATATAGCGAACTGATTTTGAGTCCCGTTGAGGTTAGATATAATGAAATTTACATCTTTAATAACGAACCTTAAAAAATTATGATAAATTGAACTTACTTTATTTCATTTTAACATTTGTATATAAAATTCACTTCATAAGAAAACCTTAGTTATCGAAGATATGTCTTGTAATATTTGCTTCACTAGCATAAGTGGTAGTAATACTTGAAGAAAAACATGAATAGTGCGAATTCGCTATAATGGTTATACGAATTCGTTATACGGATATAACGAATTACGGATATAGCGAATTAACTTCACAGGTCCCCAAGACTTCGCTATAACCGAGTTTTACTGTATGCTCTAAAAAGAACCAAAAAAGTCAAATCACATTCAAAATCAACAGGTATTTTATTAATTTGACTTGTATCTTTAAAATGTAGGCAAATTCATTGTTATTCATCTCGCATGAAAAATTATAATGGAGCACAATGTAAGTATCATCCCGTTTTTCTTGTTGTATTTTTTACAATTCCGACATGCATAACAGGTACTATCTTAAAAAGTCTTTGTGTGAAAATGTTGTAATTCATACTTTTTGAAACAAATGATTCATCTCTTTATTTTAGCAAAGAAAGAAAGCATACCTTTATGATAATATAAATGAGAAATATGACGTTTTCTTTTATTTTCATACTGTTTTGTCATAAGTATTGACCTTTCTGCACTTAAAAAAAAGTATGTAAGCACTGACAAACATCTGAATATAAAACTATTTTGCAAGAAACAAGTATTTTGTTTTGATTAGAAACAATTTAAACAGATTAATTATTATCTTCTTCATTCCAATCATTCTGTATCCCCCACATTTCCCCGTCAACAACCAACACCTATTAGAACCTAGGAATGCCTTTATACAATAAAATCTCCATGTACAGTGCTATAAATCAATAAGCAAATATAGGTACAAGTATTTCTTAATTTTTTTCTTAGTTTTATCCAGAAAATACAATTAATGGTAAACATATTATCCTGATTTAAGCCGCTTTTTTTGCTGAATTTTACTTGATCTTTTTGCACTTATATCAGCATATTTAATATCGAGGTATTTCTTCACAACTGACATTGCTACGAATTATCAACCCAAGGAAGAGAATTCTAATATTAACACTCCATAAATCAAATAAAACTGTTATTAATGATAAATAATTTTTCTTTTTGTAAATTGTGTACATTATTGATTATTAACAATGGTATGCCTATATCACAGTTGCAAAAGTCAACAGGTGAAAACAAACGTCGCTACTGTGACGTCACATAACGCTGCTTTGAAGTAGAACGACATAGGTCCCCCCTTAAGTTTTTCCACTTAACTTTGATACTGTACATTAATGACATACCTGTAGTAGTTTGCTATCAATATATCAGTTTAAACATGTTATTATTAATAACATGCTTTACTTTATTTGAATGAAAAAGTTCAGGCTTAATTTTTTTTTTTTTTTTTTGCCCATACACATAAACACATTATTAAAATTGATCCAGGTCACAATTTTTAATCTAAATCTTCTTTTAATTAAAAAAACAGCACAGAAATTTTCATTCAATCAATAAAAGTAAAGAGATTTTTACTTGGTCATCAGGGTTATCAAATGGAATAACATAGATGATCTCCCCTGCCTCAAATGACAATTCATCTTCATCCTCGTTTGTGTAGGGATGTGTAGCCTGCACCTATTAAAGAGACACAAGAAAAAAATAATCAGATCTCTCAAAAAGAAGACTCTCTCAAATAAAGTGATTTACAGAATTTGGGTACATTTGGTACAACAAAAGGCTCATTTTTGCAAATATGGTAAATTCTTTTAATGCAGAACTGCCAAAATGGGTATAAATGAAAGGGAAATTATGTGTCATGAATCTTTTGAAAACCAGAAGTCTCTGTCGAGACTGTAGCTCTACTGGTTTGTACTGATCAAAAATCGATGCACTATTTTATGTATCTTAGTGTAGTCTACTTGTGTGCCAAGTGATATTGAAATGAGACTAAATCTGTAGAAGGAGTAGCATTTTTAAGGAATTTCACAAAAAATTCTATTTTTAGTAACCATGGCAACATTGTTCATTGAAATTAAAAACCGATGCAGTATTTTATGTTTCTTAGTGTAGTCTACTTGTGTGCAAAGTGATATTGAAATGAGACTAAAACTGTAGAAGGAGTAGCGTTTTAAAGGAATTTCACAGAAAATTCTATTTTTAGTAACCATGGCAACATAGTTCATCGAAATCAAAAACCGATGCAGTATTTTATGTATCTTAGTGTAGTCTACTTGTGTGCCAAGTTATATTGAAATCAGACTAAAATTGTAGGAGGAGTATAAAAATTGTTTAAAGGGAAATTATGTGTCATGAATCTTTTGAGAAAAATAGACAGAAAATCAAATGGATCTGTGTCATGCAAGTAAATAAACATATTGTTAACATACAGACTATTTTAGTTATGCAATTAAATGTAAATAATATCTTCATATCACTAGAAAATGAAAATGTGAAATGAGTATTGAATTACATCAAAAATCAAATTCTACAATATATGTATAAATGCCAAAGATACTACTTAGTTATCATTTACATTTATTTAGTGACATTACGAGTGTCTTGAATTTGTAAAATGACATTTTAGATATCTAGTCTTTTGCGACAGGCAGTTCTGTTACATTAGAGGATTTCTCTATTAAACTGAAAAAGATCTGTCAATGATTCAAAAAGTGACATAATAACACAGACCACAAACATACCAGGGAATAAAATATCACACGTTTATAATTACATAACCCTTATACAGACAATGAACCTGCATGAGCATCCTACCTGATAAAGAACACCTGCTGGTAGCTCCACCGGTTTGTTTGAGGTCGGCACCTCATACAGGTTGCTGTCCTCATGGTCCTCTTTCCCCTCCTCCTCATCAGTGACCTCGACTTTCTCCTCCTTAGCCTCGGGCAGTTTGCTGGGAGGGGTCTCATAGGATGGGGATACTGCAGGGGAGGGAGTTTCCTGTTTCTGGGGGGTAACAGGTTCTGGGGCAGCTTCCTCAGGGGGAGGGACAGGAGGGGGGTAGGAGGGGGCAGAGTCTTCAGAATTCTGTGAGGTGGTTTCATCCAGGTTACCATTAACTTTGTTCTCACTTGCCTAGTAAAGAAATTATGAAATCTTAATATAAATAATTTATTGAAAATTTCAAATTAATGGTAATTTTGACAGCCATTGATATCAATAGCTTTGAATTATTTCTGCAGTGTCTTACAGTGTTTCCAAACCTGATATAAAATACCCGGTACTTTTTAAGGCAGGTGTTCTTAAACAAACATGTCAAAGGATACACCTTTTAATTTTTCTTGTGTTACAGAACATTGTGCAATGATTATCACATATGACTTTAATTTTTACACCCTTTCTTGCTACCAATTCTTTCATTTAGATGAAATCTTCATTTATTGAAATTTCTATCTATAAGTCATATCCTATATCAAAAAGCTGTATTTCTGGTGTTGTGTAATCAAAACAGATACTTTCAAATGTTTGATTTCTTATTTGCACTTCAGTTTACTATACTGTCCAGTTATATAAAAAATATTTATGTTATTGAAATGTATATCACTGTAACTGCATGTATGTTACACTGATGCAAATTGATAATACATTTTTATTAATATGAAAGAACAAAAAAAAAAAGAGAATCAGTTTGTCATTATTTTAGTATGCAGACACCTGATTGGGTGATACTTTTTTGTGTTCTTTTGATTGAATGATACTTTTGTTTAGTTTTTTTTTTCCACTTGATTGGGTGAACTTTTTGTGTTGCTTCTCTTGATTGGCTGATACTTTTTCAGATCTCTCTCTTCTGGTTGGTTGATATATTTTGTAATCTCTCACCAGATTGGATGACTTTTTTGTATTTTCTCACCTGATTGGATGATATTTTTTGGGTTCTCTCCTCTGCTTTGTCTGCTTCTGTTTCTTCTTTGTTGTCAATCTTGGAGCTTTTTTCTATAGCATCTTTTTCTAATTCACTATTTTCATAAATTGCATGATCTGAAAATTGTGGAAAGATCATCTCTGTAAATGAATTGAGCTTTCTGTCATTTTGATTCCTATGAATATTGTAAACCATTAAACTAACTATTGGAGCTACTGATACAAAGTAGCTGCAGCAAAATTATTCTGCAATGGTTATTACTGATAAAACATGTACTGTGCATGTAGGATGTAATGTGCACAAATTTAAAGTTTAAGTTAAAAAAAAAATTAATTTATAAACCAAAATCAAACCCAAGTCATCTGAGGGGGTTAAGATATATATATGAGAATCACAGTAAGGTGTGACAATTCTTCATCCCTTTTTAATTAAATACTAGGTAATTTTTGTCCAGAAAGAAAAAAAAAACAAAGTGTCTTATTCAATTTATGAATCAATTTTAGGTGCTTGGAAGGCAAACACTTAACGCACTTTGTTAAAAATATTGTCTTACAAATTTTAATCATAAAGATTTTATTTGTCATTTATCTTTAATAAAATTTCATCCTCATGCTATTTTTTGTATATTATATATGTCTTAAAACAAGAATAAGGGTCATAAATCCCTCAGAAAATCTTAATCTTTCCAATATATACATAGGTGTTGGTAACAAACACAGGGGGACCTTTGGGAGCTTATTCAACCTACAAAGTATATTTTCTATATTTTCAATGTTTATACGATGTATATATCTTACCAAATGTGGGTAGCTTCCTCCTATGCACAGGTTCTGATTTTGATGAAATCTGTGGTTCCGCTGGATTTGAATTTTGACCATTTTCTCCATGTCTATGCTGTACTCAAAGCATTCATATAATTAAGTATTTGCCTAACTTGTATGACGTTGAAAACTTTCAATTAATTAAAACAGATGAAAACTACAATTTTCAAGAACAGTAAAACGTATGAAAGAGAAAGAATTTTCATAGTTTTGAACAATCAAATTGGACCCTATTTACAGCTGTATTATGATAAATAATGCTAAGTTGCTTGAAGCTGTCACTTAAAGTAAAGTTACCCATTACACCTTAAATATCTACTTTTCAAAGATTTTTTGAATTTAAAATAACATTAAATATTAAGAAACGAATTAATGAACTTAAACAATCGTCACTCTTTTTTTTCAAGACCCTTTAATTTTCCCTTTTATTTTATCAAAACCTGTAAATATTTAAAACGTCAGTTATATTTTTTTTTGTCCTTCAGTGACTTTATCATAAAAAAGTTATTAAACCAGGATCTGTTATTTATCATACTTATTTGAAGGAATATTGATTTTTTTTTTTCAAAGTGCGTTAATATGGTCGAAATTGACGCTCTTTGGAACTTAAAATAGTATTTCATTTTGAAATTGCGTATTTACACAAAACAATTAAACCACTTTAAAAATTTTTTCAAAGTGCGTAATTTTTCAAAGTGCGTTGTAACAGTGCACAAATTTAAAGTTTAATTGTTTTTAAAAATAAATTTATAAACCAAAATCTAACCAAAGTAAAACTTCATCTGAGGGTGTTAACATATATATGAGAATCACAGTATATTATGTGACAATTTATTCACTCCCTTTTTAATTAAATAATACATCTAAATTTTGCAAAATAAAAAAAAAACAAAGTGTCTTATTCAATTTATAAATAAATTTTAGGTGCTTGGAAGGCAAACACAGGTCAATGCTTTGCACATTCTGTTAAAATATTGTCTTACAAATTCTGCATAATCCTATATGATTTTCTTACATCATGTTCATGTCTTTAATAAAATTTTCATCCGCATACTTTTTTTAGCATATATGTCTTAAAACAAGAATACTTTTCATTTCAAATCATGTCAGTGGAAAATGCTGTTCATCATATTGAAATCTTATGTACTTGCCTGCATGATTCATCTCAAACACAGAATGACCTTTGAGGACTTATTCAATACAAGTATATTTTCTATAATTAATAAATCATAATAGACACAGATATTAATGGCTACATTTACCTGATGTAGAAATTTACACGACTACAAAACACAGGTTCTGAAATTTGATGAAATCTGTGGTAGCTGGATTTGAATTTTGACCATTTTCTCCATTTGACTCTGCGAGACAAAATTTTCGAATTGTGTTCATTGCTCTATATAATCTTATGGAATATTATTATACGCTAAAGCAGTAAAATCTATATAACTTACAGTGTTTGTGTCTTTTGTTACACTTCAACATATTTTTGTTTGTACTTAAAAGAAATTGAATAAAATGAAATAAAATAGTCTAAAAAACCCTCCATGCAAACATATAAATACTCACAGTTCAAATTTTATGTCAATTTCATTAGAAGTCAGTTATATAGTTTTTTTTATATTGTTTATACAGATTTAACTTAATTAATTAACTGAGTTAATATTCATAATATCTGTGGAAAGAAAAATGCTGCTAATTCAACATACATCAACCTGTTCATAAACCAGGACAGATTTATTTCCAGATTTTTTTTTTTATTTTCAGATCGAGTTACATTTGATTTTTTTTTTTTAAATTCCTTTCCCAGAAAAATACCAAATTGATCTCTTTCATGGAACTTAAAATAGTATGCTTCATTTTGAGTATGGGTATTTACACAAAACAATTAAACCAAAGTAAAACACAGTTACAGTGAGCATGGACTAAATACAAAGTGATTTTATTCTTTACAGTTTCAAAATGCATTCAATAAGAACTTGAAATGTGGAATAAATTATATATAGGGATACAAAAAGAAAATAAAATTATTTGTCCAAGGCACTTGCATATAAGTAATACATGTATATTATTTTACTATTTATACCAAGGAGCAGAGAAGAAAACTTTCAAAGATTTTGTATTTTTATTGTATAATCAATAAAGCCCCACCCTATCACTCAGATTTGCATATGGTGATTCAAAATACAATTTTGATGAGGCACTTTGTTCATCATAACTATGCACTAATTTTGTTTATTTATATAACTCATATGACTTGCACTAGAAGATTTTCAGTAGAACATGTTTTTACTATATAATTACTCAGCTGTCACTTGAAAACTTGAAAGGGGGCCATCTAATTCACAATTTTGGTTGTTCACTGTTCTCATCATTTCAAAGCAATGTTAGTTAATTTCAATACCCATCAGAGAAGAATATTTTCAAAAATTATGTATACTATATAACTTTTAGTAGTTACACCAGAACCCCTCACCCTGGAAAGCCATTTCACAATTTTGGTAGAAACATAATTTAATCTTGAATAGCCATTTTAAGTGGAACCTCCTGGTCAGCACTCAATGAATACGAGTTTTGAATCTAAGTTTTAACTTCTACTCACTTTTGTGACCCTCCATAAAATTTCAATTTTGGTAAACAAAGATTGGAATCATAACTATGCACTTAGTTATTTTATTTTATACCTTGGTGCATAGAAGAAGATTTTCAAAGAATTCGTGAAATTTCACTATATAATCTATAGAGCCCCGCCCTAACACCAGAACCCCTGACCCTGGGGCCATAAAATTCACAATTTTGGTAGAGGCACTCTTGCTCATCATTTATGCACTTAGTTAGTTTATTTAATACCCAGGAGCAGAGAAGAAGATTTTCAAAATTTATGTATTTTCACTATATAATCTATAGAGCCCCACCCTAACACCAGAACCCCTGACCCCGGGGCCATGAATTTCACAATTTTGGTAGAGGACTCAATGCTGATTACAATCATGCAAACAGTTTGACTGCTTGATGTCCAGAAAAGAAGAAGATTTTTAAAGATTGCACTAATTTTAGTGGTTTTTGCCCCACATGTAGGGGGGCAGGGCCCATGAAATTCACAATTTTTTCACCTTCACCCATAGATGCTATATGCCAAATTTGGTTGAAATTGGTTCAGTGGTTTCAGAGAAGAAGCTGAAAATGTTCAAATGTTAACGCACGACGCACGACGCACGACGACGGACGAAAAGTGATAGCAATAGGTCACCTGAGTTTACTCAGGTGACCTAAAAATTGATAAAGATAAATCAAAATATCACTGATTGGATTCTTTATCTGTGTTTCCTTGCAAATTTAACACACAGTGGTAATTAATATAGCGGCGATGAAGACTGTCCTCCTATAGCTTATTTACGTGGGTGAACGGATCGATCATTGACACATACATGTTGTTGTTTTTAATGTTAAGTGATAAATGAAATAAATTGACGTCACTTTACCTGTCATAAAACATAGGAAGATCATTGTTTAATTCATCGTTTATTTGTTGATATATTTTCTTGGCTTCTTCCAACTCATCATGGGCCTGCAAGATTATTAAATATATTTGTGCCAAGTATCTTTTTATAAAAATATATTTTGTAGTTTTATAAAAAGATATTTTTCACTTGGATCTAAAATGTAAGGCTGTTTACCAACTTAAAAGCTATTAGCTGCAGAACAGTAGTCTCCGAAAAAATATTATACATTGACTGACCGGAGAGCTACAGTGTCACCCATTGAAAAAACTGTATATTTATTGCGCACAAAAAATGCGCTCAGTTCTGGATTAATTTTTCCAAATTCTTACCTCAATTGCAAAAAAGGTAGATTTCAAATAAGTTCTTATTCCTATATCAATTACTCTCGTAGTTTACATCTGTACGAAGCACGCTGGACCAAATTATCTTGCAAACCAAAATGGCATGCAGTATAAATAGACGAAATTTTCGATGATCTCAATTTCAGGGCCAGGAGGGCTATTAAAAACAATTATAAGGAATGTTTTGTTGTGGAAACAGTGAAAGAATATGTTAGGAACACACGATTAGTAATATTTTGAGATGACAGTTTTAAAAACATGGAGAAATAAATCGAGAAACTAGCGCACCTTTTTTGTGCGCAATAAATATACAGTTCTTTCAAAGGGTGGCACTGTAGCTCTCCGGTGTGCCAATATATATTTTAATCGGAGGGTACAGTTCTGCAGCTAAAAAGCTATTAAATAACTCCTTGAATTTTTGACATAAAATAAATAAAAATTTGTAATCTGAAAGAATTATCTTACTGAAAAATTTAAATGCAATTAATTAAATAATTATACCTTTTTGATTTTTGTCTCATCTTTTTTCTTTGCATTTTCATGCACATCAAGGTTGTGTTTTGCATTGTCAAAGTCTGTCAACTTTCTTCCTCTTTTTGAGATTCTTTGCTGTAATAATGAAAAAAAAGACATTACTTCTCCTTAGTTGCAATTCTATTTTAAAATTTTTTATGTAAATAAACATGCTGCTCCTACAATTGTGCATGCATAATAAATGTACATTATATTAAATACATATTCAGATATTAGGGATGTCAAAATATTAATTTTCCTTAGTCGAACATTCGACTACATTATTCGAAAGATAGTCAAATATTCGGAGCATTTATATTTTTTTTTATATACCACAGTGTTTTTGAAAGCTTATTAATTCAAATTAATTGAAAAAATGAAATAAATTGGAAATGGGGAATTGTAAACACACACTATCCTCACCTCCGATGAAAATGTTAAATACTGTTTTTCAATAAATGATTGCCCAAGCTATATATCAAAATGTCTTTGAGGTAAGATTATTTTTTAATAATTACCGAACTTTAAAACTTCACGGCTATGCAAATATTGTGTTTTCCTAAGCATTTGAAATTCCTAGAGTTTATAAATATAATTGGTACAAGTCAATTAAATAATTTTCATAAGTCCAGTTTTTGTATAGCGTTGCATAATTTTACCTTGTCTATTACCGGTATGTCCAACAAAAAAAGTCCATTGATTGAGAAATAATAATCGCAGTGTGTAATTACTGTATTTTCCATATGTACAATGTGAAAAATTATTTATATACTGTGACATTTTCACTCATTCCACAAAAAGTACAGATTCAGCTGCATAGTTTGGAAGTATTTTCCTTTTTGAGATGAAAATTTCATTATCACAGAATTTTGCATTTATTAATATTCGAATGTATTTCCTTGGAAATGAAACCTGCACCAAAAACTAGTTAACTATTCACTGAATCCATAATACATATACATTTTTGTTAATACACTGTATCATGATAACTTCAAAAAATCAAATTACTCCTCCAATCATTTGCTCATAATAGCGCTCATTAGTTTTTTTTGAAATTGTTGTTTTTCTAACCATGCATTTTTTTTTGTAAAAATAAACTATTTCAACTGGAGCATGTTCATGTTAGCTAATATTAGCCCGGTATATTAAAAATAAACATCACTCCCTAGATGTATCATCCATGCAAGTTTATAAAAATATAGGATTATAGTTTTTTGGAAATGAAAATTTCCTGAAAAATATATATGTTAATTTATCATCTGCACAATGAATGTACTGCCTACATTCAGAAAAATGGGAAGCAAGCCCGGTAAAAAAATATGTATCCTTAGATGTATCATCCATGTTCAAGTTTGGTCAACATAATTTATAGTTACTTGGAAATCACAATGTTACACCAAAAACTTTAACCTGTTCACTATACAGTGTAAATGTAGGTCAGATTAGCATCCAAAGCAAGCCCAAAAGTATGACATCCTTGATATATCATTGATGCAAGTTTGGTCAACATAAAACACACTAATAGTTACTTATAAAATGAAACCTCACCAAAAACTTTTCATTAAAACTGTTCATAACCAATCAAAACTGTAGGTCCCTGATTTAGCATAAGCAGGTTTTATGCATTTATACTGTAAATCACATGCAAGTTTGGTCAACATAGGGCTTATAGTTACTTGGAAAAATTTTATATAACATATTTTTAAAACTGTTCACCACAACTCGTGAAAATTTTGTCTCGCTTATAAATACCACAAGCAAGCCCGGTAAGGTGTCCTTAGATGTATGATCCATGCAAGTTCATGTAAATAGGCCTTATAGTTACTTGGAAGATGAAACCCACACCAAAAACTGCATGTAAAAATGTTAACCTGTCAAAAACATTAACCTGGTAATTCCTTTGCTGAAATTGCAGCATCAATTTGTCTGTAAATAAAACACACTAAAAAAATCTTCCATGAATGTCTAATCAAAATTACACAAAAATATAAAGAAAAATTTCCACTGCTCCAAAAAACTTATCCTTGATCACACCTAATACATATGTACACAAGTGTATAATGATCAATAAATCTACTTCAAACTTCAAATTGAGGTGAAATAATAAATGGGAGGCAACTTTTTAAAAAAATATGTATGCATTTAGAAATAAACAAAGTTCATATGAGTAAATAATTTCTACACTAGTCTTGTATTGGAAAATTGCATCTGTTAAATGCACATTTTGACAGACTCAATTCCATACTACCTGTACATGTAACTCAATCTACCTATCCCCCCTTTCTACCCCAAAAGAGACCATCCTTGATATTATATTGAGAATTTCTTACACAACAGTAAAACACACTAATAGTGAAAACGCTTATAATGAATTGAAGTTTACAGCAAATTGATTTTTCATTCCAAGTGGGATAAAAATGTTTTATGAACTTGACGAATTAAACAAGTATGTTCATTACCAATCAAAACTGTCTGTCCCTGGGACTTAGTTATAAGCAGGTTTTACTGTACATTAATATACTGTAAATCACTTTTTATTTGCGAGAACTTTATTTTCGCGTAATTACATGAGTCTGTCTGCTTGCAAAAATTTTATATTATATATTTATATAAAACAGAAACCACAACTCGTGAAAATTTTGTCTCGCTTATAAATACCACATAGCTAAGTCGCGAAAGTAAGGTGTCGCGAAACTATTAGTGATCTACAGTATCATGTAAATTGCTGTGTTCTGTAGATAAAGATTTGATAGAGAACTGACTCTGAGGGTTGGGAAATGACTCATGTAGTTGTTTAGCGGTTCATTCACACTGTCATGTAAACTCTGGGTGTAGTTGTGCCACATCAATTCCAGAGACTGTAAAATAAAACAAAAATAAATTTAAAAAAAATCATTATAAACTTAAATCAAAATTAAAATCATCAAAAAACAAAATAATCTGAAATTTCCACTTCATTTTAACAAGAACAACTTATCACTATGATCACACCTAATACATATGTACACAAGTGTATAATGATCAATAAATCTACTTCAAATACTTATCAAATTGTTTCATATGAAATTAATAAACTCAGATTGAGCCAGATGTTCCACAGCCTTGATAGTTCATACAATTCAGCACTGAATCCTACTTCTATCTATATAGTTTTTAATTACTATAATTAAGTTAACACCAGTAATGACCTACATTGAGCTGGGCTTTCACGTTCTCGTATTCCTCCCAGTCTTCCTCGTATGTTTCCTGTAGAACCTGGTACAGATTCTTTGAAGCGGCCTGCATGGCTATATGGAAAACAAACTTATTTATAAACTAACTTTAATCTTCTATAGATATTTTGAATAAGCTATTTTGTTAGATTGCAATCAAATATTAAACTTTATGAAAAGCATTTAATATTATATCTCACAGATATACCTTAAACATAGGATTAAAATTTTTAAAGTTTACTTTATTTTAAGTTTTGCAATTATTTTAAGTTAGATTTTTCACATCTCCTATAATTTCATTATTTCTAGTGTGGCCAGTTTTTTTAATCCAGTGAAAAAGACCCACCTTTGGCACAGTGGATGTATCCTTTAAGCTCCTTGTGTAGTTTGGCTGCAACCTCCTATAGGGCAAGATTATAAATATACAAACATTAATAAAATTTACAGTTCAATGACAATGTATTATATATGTTTATACAGGACAGAAAACAAGCTTTTCATTCAAGTATACGTACACTGAAATGTTATTACAGTGTTTCCAAATATGGCTCTGATTTTTTGCAGATTAGAAAAACAGTTCATTTTCTCATGAACTCCATTGAAAGAGCAAGAATATCTTCATTGTTGCATCATAATTCATGACTATACTTAACGTCAAAACTATATAGTGAAAACTGTTTTTTTCAAAATTGATAGTTGAATGACATAAAATTGTGGCAAGTCATATAACAATAACATGTAAATAAATAAAATTTAATTTTCAAGAATTCATGAGGTATATGAACTACAATGCTTCACACCTGTATATTTATTATTTAGCACTATAACACTCAATAAATTACGTCAGCGTGAAGAGTCTTAGTTCATCATGTTCATGTCATGAATTCTGAAAAATTAACTATATTTCCTAATATTATTTAACAAGTACTAGTATCAGCTTTCTGATCCCAGTCCATGTCAAGTTATACGCAATTTATCACTGAGTTTATATAGATATATACCCATAAACAGCAAGGATATGTGTAAATTTAATTTTTTTCAGGTATTTTGCAAAATGAAAATATCAGAAAATTGTTTAGTTCATTCCATCAGAAATTTGTTTTTATTAATTATAATTCTCTAAAAGTGTGATGTCCACTAACATGACTAAGAAACAGCCTGCACAAAAAAGAAAGAAAATAATTTTAAAAAGATTATTATTAATGTACATTAGTTTAATGTTTTTTATTAAACATGACATTGCAAGAAAGTCGATCTCCTAGTGCATCAATTCAATAACTTCCCTGTTGAAGTTCTTTTATACCTTGTTTTGCTACCACTTTCTATATTTCTGTATGTATATACCTGCTGTTTCTCCAATTTATGGGCATGTTCTTCAATTCTCTCATCAAAGGTTTTCTCTGCTTTCCCAAGATTTTGTAAAACCTACAAAAAAATTAAAATATTGGAATCATAGTTAATGTAATAAAATTAAACCAATTTCCATAACGATAATTCTTGATGTAATTATATTATATTGTATAAATTTCACACTTGATTTCCAAAAAATGATTCTTCTGAAAGAAATTTAATAATGTTGAAAAGGAAGCTTTTCTTAATTAACATGTCTTCTATAACATCATTGTACTTCTGATATGTGTACACTGTATATCTATCATGTAACATACATGTGTGTAAAAAATACCAAGAATTGGACAGAAAGAACACACTTCATGGGGGCTATGGATCCACTAGGACATTGGTGGTTCCAAGATCCTTTGCAGTTATCTAATACCCCCCCCCCCCCTTCCCTCCACACACAAAATCTGGATCTGTGACCTATTGATACCAGTACCTGTTCTGTCCCAGTTTTAAAATATATAAAGTTTGTTCTTCATTAAAATTTCAATACTGATTTAATCGTCCCAATGAATGAATATAAACACACTAAAAATCTCAGGTTCACCCAATTTTCTGATACATGTACATATACAATGCATGTAATTCAATGAATGGTCATATGCCCATTTTGGTCAATTTCAATTAAATTTGAAAAAGAAAGAAATATCATTTCCTTATACACATTTAAAATTGTTTTCTATCATTAGGAAACAGACAATAAAGAGACGAGGAGATAAGGAGATCAATTTCCCTATTAACATGTAGAATTGTTTTGAAAAATCAGATCTCATAAAATCTAACCAAATGAATACATATATAGAAACAGACTATAAACTGCACAGTATACTTAATTTCATGTGGTCCCCTATATATAGGCTATACTCACAAAGGCAAAAATAACCCAAGGGGCATGACAGACTAACTTCTAAATAGACACCTACATGTATTCAGCTATTTCATTTGGTTCATGTTTACAAAGAATACATTATGAGGTCCATTCACTGCTTCTGTCAGCAAAGCTGAGTAATTTATATGCCTGAAAGAATTCTTATTCAGCTATCTGATATTCTGACATGATTATAGATATACCTAGAATTTCCTAATTATAATCAGAAAAATTGTTATGCTTATACACCCTGGTTTGTAAAGAATTCTTTTCAATTAGGATCAAATTTTTATAAGACATCTGATGTACTGTACAAATAATGCATAGTCCGAAATATCTGATGTTTTCCAGGTCTTTTCATGATTTTGATATTTCATGTGCCAGGAAAACCAAAATCATGAAAAAGCCTTGAAAATATCAGATATTTCGGACTAAAAATTGTAATAAAATAATGAAGACCTGCCAAAAATTTTCCCCTTTTAGCAAAAGGAGATTGCATGTCAAGTATTTATGTTTCACTGTGGTTCATTTTCAAATATGCAGGTCAGCTTACCAGGATATTACATTTAGTCTAAATAGACCTTAACCTTATTCTAATGTCTCTAGTACTGCTAAATCTTACATTCATTAGAGTACCAGTAAGTTTATGGAGATTTAGCTGACATCAGTACTGTAAATCACTTTTTATTCATTATTCTAATTACGGTCACTACTACTGCTATAAAAGTATTCCTTAAGATTATAAAGAGGAATAACAACTATTCGTGAAAATTATGTTCGCTTACAAAGAGTCAGACAATTTAGGTGTCGCGAAAATTTAGTGATCTACAGTATTTTTGTTACTTTTTTAAAAATCCATTTCTGATATCGAAATTCATATGAAATCAGTGATATATGTTCTTTTCAATAATTATATATGAACTATTAAGCCATTTAAATATAAAGAATCACTCAGTAAAAACGGAAACTTAAAAAAAAACTCCTTAATATTATCCAAATTCCACAAAAAGGCTGAGTAAAAAATTTACACGAGGCATTGCTTCAGTGCGTGTCATCTGTATTTTGTATAAAAACAAGAGGTCAGTCAACATTGTTTATGCTTGTGGCAGATTATGTACAACTGTCAAGGCAGATACACTGCAATAAAACTGGAAGCATTTCTGTCACATACATCACCATCCTCATTTTGTCATGTAGTGAGTGTCTTTTTTCTTTTTATTTTTCAATATATATAGCATAGGCACTCCTCGGCTTAATTGTTTAAAAAAAAAACACCATGTATTAAACTGTTATTTCTACTGTATAATTATATCACATGTAGAACAATATTTATTTTAACAATTAAGCTGGAAACTGCCTATGATATTCGGATATGATTATATAAATATTCTTTCTTCAAAATAAAAATCAACTTGAAAAAACAAATCTTCAGAAATCTAGAATTATTACCCAAGATTTTTTTTTTTTTAGAAAACAAAACAAGAACATCAAATTATGAAAACTTGGTTGCTAGGTTAAGACAGGAAAATTTTTTCAAGTTTAAAGTGAAGTAGACTAGTATTGTGTGCTTGATTTCTACAAAATTATTTTAAGAGTGTCAAAATCATTTACGTGATTTAATTAAGTATAAGATGATGAGTGCAACTAATTTAAAAGCTTATGTCTGAAATATAGAGACAATGAATGGTAATCAAGGCCAAAAGTCTGCTGAAACAATACAGATCAAGAGTAGATCAAATTAACACAGACCACATAAAGCATCTGGGGTGGGATCAGGTGCCTTGGAGGAGCAACCATCCTCCACTGACCAGTCACCTCCCTAGTGTGTGACTAATTAAATGATTAATTTAACATGCTGATACTGGACCATGTGTACTGAGTGTTTATGCATTATAAAGCCTTATATTTGATGAAACTATCAATTAAAAAAAATCCGTAACTGACTTATACTAATTACTCAACATTCACATAATCAACATCATGTTCCAAAAATCTACTGAATTAAAATTTAAATTTACAAACAGATGTACTAATAAAAACACAGGCAAGGAATTGTGTGTGAACCTAGGTGTATATTTAAAATAGGTATCACAACTCAGCCAGTAAAAAGGGTAGAATTTTTAGGCTTTTGTTATACTTGGACAGGTAAATTCTTAAACGTATGCATACCTCAAATTTTATACATATAATTAACCCCCTGAATTCTGTCATTTCAACCTTATGTACAGTATTGCATGACTGAGCAAGACATTTCAAATTTTAAAAGTTAAACATTAAAATAATTAACAGTCCAGACAATTAGATTTTTTTGACTTTCTAAAAATAAGGTATTTATATACTTGTATTTTTACATGAGACTATAGGGATACTTTGACATTTCAAAAAAACAACAAAAAGATAGCATTTGATATTTAAACAAGCAGATTTTGTTTATATACATGGACATTTAAAAAAGTATGGCAAAAAATCTTGACACTTGTAAAGTTAATAACCTTTTAAAAAACTTGATGAATGGATGGAATGTAGGTCAGGGAATCCTATACAGTAAATACAATAAAGACACATTTTAAATCTAGTTTATTTATTATTCTATATCTTCCAACGTCACCAAGATTAAGGAGACCCAGAGGATATAAGGCTTTTGCTGTTTATGTACACTTGTATATAGGGAAGTAAAGCAGATTGACAAATCAAACTTAAATAATCCATGAATCAGAATGCATGGATGCAGTCTGTGAAAAAGAAAATACACATATAGATTTCAGCCCTTAATTATTATTTATTTTCAAACATTACATTCACTCCAGCTGAAGCAAGACTGGGCTACTGAGATGGGAGAGCTACTAGAAATCCATATAATACATGTATCAATATGTTCTTTTTTTTTTCTTATTTGGTCATCATGTAACAATAACAGATTCTCTTGTCTATTTTTGGTATATAAAATAATATATTTACAATGTAGAACTATTCTTTCTGAAACTTCAACATAAAAATTGCAGTACATATCATGGTATGTTTGGGTAGGAATTTTGTTTAAATCCATTGAAATTAATCTTTTTGAATTGTTTTTATAGTCCTAGCATTTCAATTCCAGTATCCCGTTGGAATTCACTGCATGTTCTCAGATATTGCACTTGCAATACTATCTGTATCATCCCTCTAAGCTAGAATTCTATTTATTCGATCCTCTTTATAGGCTTCCTGCTTCTAATATGTCATATTTACACTTACAGTCATGATACTGACCTAAGTAAACAAACAAGTTAAGGGACAAATTAACAAGTTCTACACGAGCATAAGTGGACAAGCACACGACAAACTACGTGACAATGAGATTCTTCTGATATACTTGTAGAAAAGATATTATGACTTTGTTCTGCACACAAACGGAGATAAATTATAAGACATGATGATGAATTAAAGTTCTTGTTTGTAATTTGTATTTATGCACAATGCAATATATGCAGGCACTATCATGAAATGTGAAATAAAACTTTACCATATGTCATTGTTTCTATAGGAAACTATTATTTCCTTGCTAGTGTCATTTTAAGATTATTTTAAATTAAATATTTGTTTTCTTTTTTTTAATTACAAAATTATATATACATCTGCATATTACATATGTTAATTTTTTTAATTCAACATCATTGTGTCAAGTCATTGCAGGAGCCTCTTTGCATATCACACATGTTCCAGAAAAATACCAAAGTATTTGCATATTTATTACTGTGCTGACTATTTCCTGTATGGGATACATTATTTTTTAAAATTATATAAACAATTCAACAGCATGATATTTTCTGTTTGTCATGTTAACAGAATGTAAATAAAAGGAGGAAAAAAGCTATTATTTTAGAATTTTATTTAAAAACACAATTATAATATTTGTGAATGCATATATATATCTGTCACATTTTGTGTTTTCAAGTACATGTATTAAAAGCATATCATTCGTTCATTGCATGTTTTGCCCTGAGAGCATGTAAATTTGAAATGAGCAACATTATATGTCACATTCTTTGTAATGTTAAGACCGCGGAACATTAACTGGCAAAATTGGAAATATACAGCTTACGTCATTTCTATCTGTTACAATCAAAACATTCAATGATAGACAGCGTAATGGGTGGGTACAATTTGACGCGGACGTTTGGAAAACATCAGATTGAAATTGTAGATCGAAACTCCTTTTCAATCCACCTCAGCTATGCTACAATTCGACGCAGACGTGTGGAAAACATCGGATTGAAATTGCAGATCGAAATTCATTTTCAATCCACCTGAACTGTTTTCAAAGCTAAGAGTGATTATATGATCCAAAAATCAACTAATTTCAACCCCCGAATACATATTGTTTGAAGTTTAATAAATACGAGTTTTAGCTTACAATTTTAGGGACGCGAAAGATGATAGAAGACAAAGATTATTTTTCAGGAGATATTTGCCTCTAAGCTGGGGGGGGGGGGGGGGGTTAAAAATTGTCGAGTCAGGTCATGACTTACATGTAATGTTTACATGACAACAGCTTTTATTTCTAGGATTATTAGAGTACATGATTTTTATACTTATTCTCACTGAAAAATGTTGGACAACTTTATTTAAAATTGTTAAGCCCCCCTCCCCTAAAACAAACGTATATTTACCAAGCAGAAATGAAATATTTGTCCCTTAATATTTTTTTTAAAACACTGGACAAAAAATTCAAACTGTACCAAAATTGAAATTATTTGTCTTCTGGGTAAGTCAGTAACACTGTGGCTTCTAGCGTAGTTGAGGTGGATTGAAAAAAATGAATTTCAAATTATAATTTCAATCCAAAGTTTTCTTATTTCTTTCTTAACAAACTTACTAATTATACCCTGTGATGGCGTTTATTGGATCGAAATTTTAAGTTTTCACTTCACTTTTTAAGTCGTTACCTTTTTCAGCAGTATAGACTTCTGTACACAAGTGAACTTATTAGTAAAATGATTTGATCCTTTAGGCGCTACTTGCAAGAAAACTGATTATTTTTTTTTCATACATATGTAAGCTTGTAGGTTCCTTTTCTATACCCTGTCTTTTTATGACGCATTTTTTAAAAAGTTACTGAAAATAGTACATTTTGGTTTTGCAGCTTCAGCCCAGAAATTAAGAAATGCTTGGGCATTTGAAGGTCCCTCGACAAAATTGAAATAAACAGGTCCTTCTAATGAAACAAACAAATTGAGAGTAATATTAGCATTCAGAATAAATCTCCCTAGCTCTATTGCCCTCTCATTATATTTACTATGTCCATAGTATCGATGAGCAACTGTTGTTTTAAACCCACTTTCATCGAAAAACTTAACCTTTCTCGGGTTAAGTTGACTCACAATATCTATGTATGTTTGTGTATATTGCATATTTTCAACGGTAAAGCGCTCCTTTGCCATCCGCGTGATTTTTTTAAACGTGAATCTTCCGGATGGAAGAAACTTAATCACTGCATTGGATATATCTTTTTCCGTAACATCAGGAGTGGGACTAAACTGTTTTAGCTTTTCTACTATCTCTTTGTAGGTAGTAGTCGGTTTTTCTCTCAGACACGCTTCAATAAAAACCACATCATGCTCACTAAGTTTTCTTGGTTTCTTTCCACCACGCAATCCAGGGCAAACGTCCCCACCTTTACAAAAGTTTGTCCACATTCTTTTCACTGTAGAAGGGTGTACATTGATATTATTTGATACTTTACTAATTTCTCTCCTGACCCCCCCGACCTCCCCCTCTAGATCCGCGCATGATTGAAATTATACTGTCTTTTGGGTCAATCAGTAATGTGCCTTCTAGCGTACCTGAGGTGGATTGAAAATGAATTTCGATCTGCAATTTCAATCCGATGTTTTCCAAACGTCTGCATCGAATTGTAGCGTAGCTGAGGTGGATTGAAAATGAATTTCGATCTGCAATTTCAATCTGATGTTTTCCAAACGTCCGCGTCGAATTGTACCCGCCCATTACGCTGTCTATCACTGAATGTTTTGATTGTAACAGATAGAAATGACGTAAGCTGTATATTTCCAATTTTGCCAGTTAATGTTCCGCGGTCTTATTACATGACTCTAATTCTTAATGCATTGTCCAATATGTATTACATGTACTTCAAATATTTGAAAATGTAATTGCAGCGACAATATATTATTATTATTATTATAGAATTCCATTGAATTATTAAAATTCTTATCTTATTTAGCCAAGAAATAAAACCTAAATTCCAAGTCCTATACAACTGAAACACCTGTAACATCAGTTAGAGTGATTTATGGATATTGTCATATGAATACCATGTTCACCCTAATACACAAAAATTCGTCGTCATTTTTATCCTTGCAGCTAAGTGCAAACAAGGACAGTTTTTCACACCTCTACAAACACACTTTTGATGCTTGTTTCTTTAGGGCCTAGAGGTTGGGCCTGTACAATATTTACTGCCTGTGATTTGACCCTGCAGATTTGGACAACACTGTCAGTGTCTAAGTGCAGCCATACACTAGATTACAAAAAATATGCAAAGTATTCAATGTGTATGGTTAATACAGTATCAGTGAATATTTTTGAATGGTTTCGTTTTAGTAAGCTTGTACTAGGGAAGTATACAAAGTACAAATGAATCAGAGTTGTGTCAAATGCACATGCATTGATGTCAAATCTTGTTGCACTGTTTGTCAGCTGCTTGTGAACAGCATAACATATTAAACCATGTGTGTTGACATCGAGTTTGAGAAACACAGCTTAAATTCAGCCTTTAAAAAAATTAACACATCCATGTACTCTAAAGTATACCGTGTACCAGTGCACATTAGATGCACATGTAAAAATAGCTCAAGCTGGTGATGTATACATATAATCTACTTCCTGCATCATTACCAAACAGTATGGAACCATGTTTTAATTGAACAGTTAAAGATGCTGCAACTAGGCCAAGTGATATTCTTTGAGATAATAATTTACAGAGTATAAATTAAATTCCCCTGTATAACAAATACTTTTCAGCATGGTAGAACTCTTACACACAAAATTCCTGAAATACACACTTTTCCACGTGAAGACCATCAAGACATAAACACTGTCACTGCTCACAAACGCACCTGTTAATCTACCAGGCATTTTCTGCAGCATTCAGCTCGATCAAATAAAATGGATTTACAAGCACTCAAAAATTACAAGTAGTCTTCGTTCAGACATGTAGAATCTTACCTTGGTTTTTGTTCTAGACCACTTTTTCAAAGATTTGGTTAGCAGACTACCCTTCGCCTGGTCGGCCATGTTTTCAACTTTTAACTATCAATACAGTCAAGAAACAACTTTTTTCATTGGCTGAGCTCAATGATAGTCTGTTTCAATAAACACAGGGTAAGCTTGGTACGCGGATCAGAGTGTTATTTATCTGGAGGCGTGTTAAATAGAAGGAAAAGGTACACTTGTAATAAATTGGGGCCTAATTAACCAAAAAAAAAAAAAAACCTATCGATTTCGACATCAAATTATATCGTGTAAACTTTTTATTATTAGGCTATACAACACTTGCATCATATTTCATATTTAAAGAGTTCAATATGATATCTTCACAATACACGTTCTGGCGGTTCATTTTCACCCCTATTCTCTGTATGAAAGTTTGTAGGTAAATCTCCGTGAATGTGGAGGGTGGAATAAATTTAAAACTTTTAGGTTGAGAAGATGACACATCGACTCTGCTAAATGGGATAGAATATCTAAAAATTTATATTTACAATATTAAACAAAAATATTTTCTGAAATCTTTCTGAAAAATTTTATGTGAACTTGTAATTTCAAAGTTAAAGACAAATTAATTAGACACAATACATAAACAGATAATTTACATGTTAGATATACCCCTAAAACTCATTCAGAACATTCGATGCTGGCACGGAGGAAAAGAGTTATTATAATGTGCGTTTTACATATATGCATGAAGTTTAATAATTCAGTAGGATACAGGGTGGAGTATGGTTCTTTCAAAGTGGGAGGTTGATCAACCTGGGAAAAATACTTGAATGTATGGATTACCTGAAAGTTTTAGAAAAAGAAAGAAAATCTCCCAACCCGAAAATCTTATTTGTAAAGGGGGTGGGGTTTCATTTTGTTTTCACAACCGAATTTCTTTATACATTTCACTGAACATTTTCTATAGTAAAAGCACAATAAAAATTTGGGACTCTCTTCTTTCTCTGTCTTTTTTGCATATCCAAAAAGGGGGGGGGGGGTTGCAACCCTCGTAACGCCCATCTGGATCCGCCACTGTAATGCTATGTTTGTATGATATTTTTATAATATCTAAGAAATTCGTTGTTGCGATTATCGTTCAATTTTCATTCTATAGTTGAAAAAAATGGTATTGAAACTGACCGAGAACCGAGAACAAAACTTCATGTACCACTTTAAAAAGGGTTGTTTTTTTTAAAGGTTTGCAGTTTCATAAGTTGGATTTTTTTTTTTTACAAAAAGACTTAACACCCCAAATCTCTTCAAATATTCTGTAAAACTGCACATGCTGCAAGTTTCAGAAAATTTTGTCTATAGCTGATTTAATTGAATTCTCAGATACACATAAAAGTTTGCCTCCAGTCGAGCCATTAAATCCAAATATCACTAAGTGATGAGAATAAATGTAATAAAACATTTTTAATTAGGAATCTGACATTTCAAAAGTTGGTTTCTGTTAAAAAATCAAAGACCATAAACTGCAAAAATCTCCACCGAGAGACGACTGATTCGAATAATTTGATACGATATTTGTTTGTTTTTTTTTTCTATTTTGATACATAATAATATTGTATTGTATGGAAAAACCACATGGGATCCTAAGGTTATAATAAACATAATGATCATCCCAATATACAGCATCATTTCGTGTAAATTATTTCAAAACCCTGGACAGGGCAAAGTTCACACAGGCACGTAGCAACAGGGAGGGGGTCTCTTTTTTTCCCCCAACATTACTTTTACTATTGGAAATGTTTAGTGAAAGGCTGGTTGGCTCCTTTTTTGCTTTGTCAACTTTTTCAATAAAGTAAAACAAAAATGTTCTCCGGCTGCCCCCCCCCCCCCCCCCACTTTCAAAAACGATGCTACGTGGCTGTCACAAACATTGATTGTAAAACCTGAGCTGGTCATGATGTACATGTAACTTGGAACAATTGTGCGAAATATAGAATTAAAACAAGATGTGTTTGTGAAACACTATGCGCCCGGCGGCAACAAAGTTACAAAAAACTATTTTTAGCATATAGGTCACAGTCAAGGTCACAAGTTCATTGATATTAATGTTATTTGAAAGAACTTTAGTAGTGGAGTAGGCATACCAAATATGAAGAGTCTATATCTCCTATGGTTCAAAATTTATGGCAAAAGTTCGAAAATAGCTGTTTTTAGCATTAAGGTCACAGTCAAGCTACAAGGTCAATGACTTTGGTGTCGTTTGTATGAGCTTTATTAGTGAAGTATGCATACCAAATATGAAGTCTCTATCTCGTATGTTTCGAAAGTTATGGCAAAAGTTTGAAAAAGCTATTTATAGCATGTAGGTCACAGTCAAGGTCATCACAAGGTCATTGACCTTGGTGTCTTTTGAAAGAACTTTATTAGTGGAGTATGCATACCAAATATGAAGTCTCTATATCTCAAGGTTCAAAAGTTATGGCGAAGGTTAAAGATTTCAGCAGACGGACAAACAGACAAACAGATAAACAGACAAACAGACAGAACAAAAACAATATACGCCTCGGATCTATCGATCCCGGCGCATAATAACTTTATAATTGTCATAAAAGTTTTTTCATTGGTTTGTTTAATGTGTGTCAAAGTGTAGAGGGTAATTCTTAATATTAAAAAAAATGAAAAGACCTAAAATTTCTAATAAAATATGAAGGAAATCTGCTTACTTTTTAATTCATGGTGTATGTCAGTCCATCCAGTCAAAATCATATCCAATTAGTGTTTTTTTTTAATCACTCAGATATTTTCTAATAATATATTTATCTCTTTACATTTGACAATCTTCCTTTTAAAAATATTGAAATGAATGAATCTTTGAAGAAAATTATTTAACAAATGTAGCCCTTTCATTCGGTCAATCTATAGACATATTTGTATAGATATATCGACTTGCAAGAAAGAAAGACATATCGACCTCGCACTTCGCACTCGGTTCATGTAGATATGCTGCACTTCGTGCTTGATAGATATGCTTTTCTGTCAAGCTGATATAACTATTGATAGACCTCATGAAAGTCTATATTCGTATAATTACTCTGCACTGAAGTTCATAATTGTTCCCCGCTTTCGCGAAAGCGAGGGGACATTAAATCTCATTCGTCTATCTGTAAGTCTAGCTGTCTGTCCAGCTGTCCGTCCGTCACAAACACTTTAACCTTGCCCATAACTTTTGATTTAATGGAGCTATGACTTTCATATTTCACATGTGTATTCCTTGTGACAAGACCTTTCTTTGGGTACCATCAAGCTTGACCTTTTGACCTTGAACTTGGAGTTTGACCCACTTTTACACAAAAATTTCAAATTTTTACTTTGGCCATAACTTTTGAACGGTAGACACTAGGGCTTTTATATTTCACATATATATTTTTTGTGGCAAGACCTTTCATGGGATATCAACAACTTTGACCTTTTGACCTTGACCTTGGAGATTTCCCTACTTATGAAAAAACTTTAACCTTGGCCATAACTTTAAAAGCTAAGGGATAGGGCTTTCATACTTCATAAATGCAATCCTTGTGAGAAGTCCTTTCATGGGATAATAAGAACTTTGACCTTCTGACCTTGACCTTGGAGTTTGGCCCATTTTTAAAAAAAACTTTAACCTTGGCTATAACTTTTGAACGGTTAGGTCTAGGGCTTTCATATTTCAAATATTAAATCCTTGTGACAAGTCCTTTCATTGGATATCAAGCACTTACACCTTTTGACCTTCACCTTGGAGTTTGATCTACTTTTAAAAAAACTTTAACCTTTGCCATAACTTTTGAATGGTAAGGGCTAGGGCTTTCATACTTTACATAAGTAATCCTTGTTAGAAGACCTATCATTGGATACCAAGAACTTTAAATTTGACCCTTTTTCCTTGACCTTGGAGTTTGACCTACTTTTTAAAATTTGGGTACCAATATATTTAATTTGCATTTAAGAAAATTTTAATCTTCGCTTTGTTGCCATACGGGGTCATCAGTGTTTCACAAACCATTTTGTTCCTTTTAACTTTTGACTGAGAAGAGATAGGGCTTTCATATGCCTTGGTCTACACGATTGACCTTATTTTTTAAAAAAATCAACTTTGGTGATAATTTCTAAATGACATATAATATGGCGTTCATATTTCACATCTCACCCACAAAGACACCGAAAGCGGGGGACCACAATTCTTTGAATTTGCTTAATGTATAATAATGTAATAATGTAATGTTTCTGTCACTACAGGCTACAAGCACATTGCATCGTAATTAAAGGGGGGTCATGCAAATAAATTCAGAAAAATCAATCTCGAAACACTGAGGGGGGGGGGGGCGTTGTAGGTTAATTAATGGGACATTGAGAAACAATGATGTTGTCGGACGTCAATTAACAAACTAAACGGCGACAGCGCCGGGTGATCATTTAATGTCTTTTATTTAGATAGTTTGGCAAATTATCAATGTATCAAGCTAAAATTTTCAACTCTTCTTAAACTTTTGTTGGTTGGTGTTCCTTATAAATTTTGTAATCACAGATTACATTTTCACATACATGCTGTAATAATTTTACCGCATGGGTCCACGAACTTTGATAACCCCTCATATAGTCATCCTCACTAAATTTATAAAGGAAAGAAATCTCTCGTCTACGGAATATGTAGAGTTGTCTTTCTTACACTGCATTAATTTCTTAATTGACCGTACAAAAACTTTGTCTTGTTTACCCCAAAAGTTAATACTTTTGAATTTAGTTAATAATATGCAGTTGATTATTATTTTTTTTTTGAATCACGCTCTTGCTTTTGTAGGTCTAGGGTGGGAAAAGTGTCGCACATGGCGCCCTTCCCTGGGTATAACGTGTGTATAAAGGAAAGCAATGACATGCCAATAAAATCTGCATACCAAAGTACGTACTTTGTCAAATCGAAATGCAAGGTTTGGCTCTTTTTTACTTTTCAAGCAATTAATATCTCGGGAGAAATGGTTTCCTTAATCTTCTCTTTCCACAGCTAGTACAAACCTGATCAGATTTTGATCAGAGCTCAGATTTGATATTTTCAAATAG